CAGCTCAGGGGAAAAAAAGCACCGAAATAAAGCACCGAAATGTGCGCTGCTTTTCGGTCTGGTTACTACCGTTTATGTCAGAACCGGTGCCATCATGGCACCGGACACCGGTACCCATCCCTACTCAGCACCCATCAACCAAGCAGTTTAACTAGTCGTTCCAGTCTCCCACCACTTACCCTAAACGACATGTTAGCTGGTTGAACTCTAGGAGGCTGCGATAATCATATATGCCCAGAGGGCCGCGCGATAGGCTGATCTCAATGTCATCAAAGGACAGGTCTTTGAGAGGCAGGTCCAACGCCCTACGAGGACAGAGAAAAAGTTTTGAGTCAAGAACATCCAAAGCAAGCGTGCGTTGATCATCGGACACTTACTTGGCCATGAGCTTTCTGACGTTGCTGGCGAACAGCGCGGGGTTTTCTTTCTCCTCGTTCGATGGACTGTAAACAGGCAAGTACTAAAGAGAGAGTTCAACTCAGTCTTGTTGTTGTGACACTGATCATACTGCTCGGCAACATAATAATGAATTGCAATAAGTCAGTTTGCTGACTTCTGTCATACGAAACCGCTCACCTCAATCTCAATGGAGTTATGAGGCTGACACAGAGTGAGCCACAAAATGTGAAACCTGGAAGACAGAACAAACAGCTTCATCTACACCCTGATGGAAACAAACAGCTTGTAACTTTAATAACACAGAGTGGGAGACTGTGTGTGTTGTTGTTTTGTGTATATTCTATGTAACCCTGGGAATGCGCTGGAGTCGATCTCACCCGAGGACGATGTTTGCTTTTAACCAGCCCGTTACACATGCACCTCTCTGCTCTGGTCGGCCAAAAAAACAGCACCTGGTCCCTTTTTTGGTGTGTTTTTTTTGCATGCTGTGCTTTTTTTAACGCTCCCTGATGGAACAAAAGTGTCCTGGACACACAGCCTCGCAGACATATTCCCAGCGTATTCCCACAGTGACTGTAAAGGTGTGTGAGAGAAAGAAACACTCACGCTCCGGGACCTTTCCACGTCCATGTAATGGTATCCTGTGGAGAGAGAACCAAACACCCCATGAAGCAGTTTTATACAAATCCACAAACTCTTTATGTATCCATAATCACTGTGAGGCACACTTATTACAGTGAAACATAGCAGAGATCCTAGCCTGTATAGAAAAACCACCTGTTGGTTTGCAGAATATTGTTTTCTTTGCTTTGTGAAAGCAAAACACCTCACTTTCTATTTTATAAGATGGAAATAGTCTAATATATTGTTCAAGGCAAGGGTCATGGCCATCACATTTAAAAGTCAGACACAAGGTAGGCTGCGATTCAAAATTGCATTAACCAATAGCGACGCTCCCCTGAAGGAAGGACGACTGAAATAAAGCTGTGGACCCTCCCCTCACCCCCAACCGAGAGAAGAATAAAAAAAATTAAAAAAACATAAAACCCCCTTAATTCCACAACACTTCCTGCGTGCTGCTATTCCACACTCAGTCTCATAACGTGAGAGCTGCCAAACATGACCTGACTTGACCTCGCATCGAAGAAGGCGGCCATCACTAAATTAACAAATGCAAAGAGACTGAATGGAAGCACATCTTGTGGTGCGCAGAGAAAAAACAAACTAAGAAGCAGTCACCCTGTCCTTTATTTTCACCTTCTCTGCCTCACTTAACCGTCTTGCGGTGCCACGGTGTCAAAGACGTCAGTGCAGTGAGTACACCGAGCACCACGGGAAACGGTGACAAAGGCTTTCGAGGGAATGAAAAGAAAAACGAGGTAACAGGAGCTGCATGTTTAATGAAAGAGCGGGGAGAGGTGCTGAGAGAGAGACATGACACCTCTGTGTGCATGTGTACATGCGCACGTATGTACGATGCGTGTGTGCGTGAGAGACAAACAAAGGATGAAATATCATCCCACTACAACATGAGCTCATTCAACACAAGAGGAACACACTAATGCGAAGGAAAGAATTCACTGCATCACAGGCGTGTCAGTGTGGGTGTGTATAGTGTACGTGGAGTCACTATAGACGTGACCTACGTCTAAAGCTGCAGGTATGGGAGGAGCCACAGAATAGGATCAAAAGGAAGAGGACAAGATTTATGGTGTATACCAGTTTGTTTGGGTAGCGTAGTATCACTGGCTGCACTGGGAGTCCTGGGATGAAAGCACCTGAGGAAGACAAGAGGAGGAGGAAGGTGATGAGAACAATCTGGTATTGTTAAACGTGATCGATTGTCCCCAAACCCAGCTCAAAGCCTTTATTTGAATCCTACTTCTTTATCTTGTGTCAGGCATGTCACACGTCAAATTTATTTGTTTTTATAGAGTCAAAGTAACTGAGAAATTAACAGTATTTGATGGAAAATGATGGGGAGGGGCTTCCAAATAGATTTTATGAGTACAGAAAAAGAATAGAGTTGGACTGCATCAACTGGTTTAGTGAGTGATAAGATCATAACCTCAAAATAACATCGGGAACAGGGACAGAGCGTTTCCATTGAATTCTATTATATCTTGCTGATGATGGGCAGGCTGATAAAAGCTACATACAATATTTATCACTGGACAAAGACCTACTCAAGCTATTCAGTAACTTATGAATGGATTGCAAAGGGTTACAAATATTAGTTTACCAACTTTGTGTGTCTGCTGTTTAATGCTGGCCACAGACCATACAATAGGTTTTTAGAGTTTTGATGGATAAAACATCTGCCTGATGCTGCTGTGAATGAAGCTGCTTATATCACAGCAAAACAGTGAACATGTAGCTCAAGCTGAAAGTCACCAAATCATCAAAACTGTCCTATAATCCACTGGTGGAGATTTAAAACCGGGTTTTCTTTTTCCAAGATTCAAGAAAATGTTGCTAGAAAAAAAGAAATAGAAATGAGATATCTAATATATAACAAGTTCCTTGTACCCTGTAAATGAAACGCATAAAGCTAACTACACAACAACCTGAAAAAATTACAGTAAGTAAGTAAAAGAAAACCAGACGCATGCATCATGAATCACCTAGCTCAGCGTGTATTTGAATAACAAGCCCTGGAGGCAGGGCGAGGAGGATTTTAATAGTTGTTTAATATCAGCGATGGAAAGGCTGATGGAGAGCTGGCATATTAACTAGAGTGTAAATCAACAACGAGTCTCCGCCAACAAACACTGATGAGTGGCTGAGACCTGCATTTAAAATGAATAAAGTTATAATTAATCGGTTTTCTCGTGAGACTGTGAGAACGTGAAGAGGAGCGAAAGAGATCTGCAGCATCTGAATGATAATGACGGGACTATAGTAAGAGGACAGGCAGACAGATGAGGAAAGAAACGCTCTATTAAGAGACTGAAACGAGAAAAGGACATAACTGCAGTGTGCATTCACACACAGGTGGCTTAAGCACATTAACACACACACACACAGTTTATCTGTTGAGCTGGGAGCCAGTGATGAGATGTAACAAGAGGAGACACATCCAGAGAGGACCGGTAACACATCGCACAATGATCTAACCAGACACACACACAGTGAGTGAAAGCAGGACAGAGTGTGACCCACAAGGCTCACTGCGAATGGCCGAATTATGGACTGGAAGCAAGGGGATTAGACAGAGCAGGCAGGGAACAATAGCTGACAACGTCACACACACACACACACACACACACACACACACACACACACGGGATGTGAGCAGAAAAGCAAGACCATAAAGAGATGAGTGCAACAGTTCTGTGTCCTGAAGCAAGTCACCGAACCTCCAGACTCACTGTGTCAAAAGAGAAATTCATTTAACCAGACATCTACACCTCGAGTTGGCAGCTATGGAGTCAGCCTCATTCATACATAATCGTTTACAAGTCCACGCACACTACGTGAAATGTATACTGAACAAAGCAAACAGACCAAGTGTCTCCATTAACAGACACACCCACTACTGAGAACTATAACCAAACAGTCGTCAGGCAACAAAGGCAACAATGAACCTAATTGTCACAAATGTTTTAAAGGGATACATGAAGTTATTCATGTATTTGTTTCATCCTTTTAGAAAAGTAAAACATAAGGTGCGGGGGCCAGAATCAGGCCGGTCAAGACTCCAATCTAGTCCACTAGACAGCTTTAGAAAATGTGAAGGAGCACATAGATTTTGAACTTAGCCGTATTTTCACCCCCACCCCCCAGTGCCATCCGTACTACAACATGAGCAATGAACTAATAGATAAACAATTACATGTAAAAAACAAAACAAAAAAAAAACAACCAAACATTGGATTTTAGCAACTATTTGGGGTGTTTTGTTTTTTTATCTACTAAAGTTTACTTAAAAAAAGAAAAAAAAGAAAAGAAAAGATATTTTTCTGTGAATTAACGACAACTTTCTATTTTGTGATTACACGATAGTCTGCGCAGTGAACTACCTGAACTTTTTCTGAAATTTTACACATTAAATCATGTAGTTTCACCGGTCGGTCCCACTTACGCTCAAAGTCGGCTGTAGGTAAAATGAGTTTACTCGACTACGCTGCTTGCAACTAGTCGGTTAGTCTGTTGTTTGGAAGTTGTGCAAAGGGGGAAGATGGTGTATGTGGCGGGGTATGGTCTGTGGTGCGATGCCTGCCATGGTTCATTTAAAGTAGTGCCGAAACCCAGCAGGCGGCATGGCGGAACTGCAGCCGGCGGTGTCACGCTGCCAGCAGGAAGAACTCCCGGACCGGATCGAACGTGGGAGGCAGAGGATTGAAAATCTGGCAGCTCTGATCGGGTTCTGGCCAGCACCGCTGCCACCCCCACCGGCATTCCCCGATAGCGAGGGAGTGGAGGAGGTCCAGACTGTTCTGGCGCCCATCCTGACCACCAGGGTGAGGCCAGGCAGGATGCAGCCAGCCACCGCGCCCATACCCACTCCATGGGTGGGAGCAGCTGCTGCCAGGCAGGGGCCTACACCTGTTCCTGCTCCCCAAAGGAGGGCCTCTGAGCAACCGCCGGGCCCACCACTGACTCACGCACCTGCCCAGCCATAGGTGGAGGACGAGGTGTGTGAGAGATCGGTGCAGCCAGAGATGGAGGTTGAGGTGCCTGCCAAGCTGGAGATGGAGATCGAGGCGCGCGAGGCTCCTGCCAAACCAGAGGTCCACATGCTGTCCGGACCGGCCTCACTTCCACCAGAGGCTGGCGCATTGTGTGATCCTGTGCAGCAGCCGCCCGCCAAGCTGCTGGTCCCCAGACCCACCTCGTCACCAGCCCCACTGGATACGTGGGTGGTCACCTGAATGGACACCTCCCAGTAGCTGGGCCGGGGGTGCCGACGGTCAGGGCTGATTGGGCCAGATGGCTCCCCGGCCTCAGTTGGGCGATGCGGGTATGTAGCGGGGTGTGGTCTGCAGTGCCGCTACAGGGAAGGCGGACACACCTGAGCGGCATCCGCAATCACACCTCACTGGCTTAAAAGTCTGTGACTGTTTAATGTGGTTGTTGTTGCTGGTGTGTGTTAGGCTGGTGGCTGGAAAGCCGCAGCCTAACACTGCAGTGTTACAGCACCAACAACTGTGGAAATAAACGTAGATGCTAAAATGCAAGCAAACATGAACGGGGCTGCCGTGGTTCATTTACAGTGCAATAGTGAGCCTTTTACCATCGAGTGAAAATTTCTGACTTGATGGTGGGTCTAGATGGAAATGAATGAGATTTTATCAAGGTAGTTTGCATGCATGACGAGTTCAGAGCAGTTTTATTGAGAACCAGTAAGAATAAACACACAACAAGACTATCTTTACAGTCAGGCCAAAGCAGGAAGTGGACTGAATACATACCAGCCTTGAATAAGATTAGACCCGACCTGTTGGTGCAGGTCCCCTCCGGGAATATCATGATCTGCAACAGACACAAATCGCTCTTCATTTCTTGTTTGAATTTGCTCTCGCTTTTAATTTATCACCTTTAAATTCCCGGGTGTCAGCTGAGATCACATCTCTGTGCCCTTATGCGTATATGCATGTAGTTTACCTGAGGCCACTTCCCTCCAGAGCACGCTCTCCGCCTGATTTCCTCGACAGTTTTTCGTCTCGAGTCTTGGTCTGACCGAAACACGAACACTGGCCTGATGTAGCTGATCAAAGCTGGAAGAGGATGATGAAGAAGTGGATTTTGGAAGTAAGCCACAACAAGCGAATTAATGTTCAAAACACTGAATAAAAGAAAACTGATGGAGAGTTGACTTAACAGAATGCAGTCTTTGTAAAGAAAGAAAGAAAGAAAGAAAGAAAGAAAGAAAGACAGAAAGAAAGACAGAAAGACATCTATAGCTCAGCTAAATCTATTTAGTTACCTGTCTGAATGCATTCTGTTACATTGTGCATATGCTGTACATTAGTATAGGAATTTCAGTAAATGTGCACTTACTGCCCCAGACTGGGATGCTCCTGCTTTCCAGTTTGGTGACTATGGAGCACATGGTCATAGTGACTGGGATGGCATCAAAGTAAGAAGAATGTGGTGCCACAGTGAGGATGGGCGCTTCAGAGGGTTCTACCCGTTGTCCCTTCACTTTGATCCAGTGGAAACCTCCGCAAAACCACATGGCTCGCATGATCGCTCTTAGACACAGGTCTATAAACCTGACGAAGGACACACAGACAGCTGCAGAGGGACGTTGCTAGCTGGCAGAGTTTTCAAGCGATGTTGAAATTTACACTTCCCGACACTTCACCCAATGCATGAAACTATACATTTTTAGACATAAGTTGTAACGGCCGCCGTTTTCTTTGTGAGCATTTATTACACGGCGTGCTGCGGGGAAAAGCCTGTTCTAACGTTTGACTCTAAGGTTTATGTTTTAGCACCTGGCAGCTCTTTTTTTACTTCTCATCCGTAAATAATCTGCTCTTTCACGTGATTCACATGATCTTGAGCTTTATTGTGAAAGGTCTATGTGGAACATAAACAAGCGGACACGCGTTGTTGCTAACCACAACGCATAAAAACAGTCGCTTGTCCGTCTGTAGTGTGGTTATATTAAATATAAGAAAAAGAGAGAACAGTGACCATGAAAACGATGAAAAAAAAATATTGCTGTAAACAGTTTATTTTGCGACACCACGAAACAAACGATAGCGTAAAATGAAACGATAGATGTTTTTATATCCTCATCCGATATATATCGTTATATCGAACAGCCCTACACCACGGAAATACATGGATACATTCGAAGACCTTCAGGTGTTTGGACCAATGTTTTCTTTTCTGATCAAACCAGAAAGCTTTAATGAGCAGCTGGATTTGTCTCGCATTAACTGGCTGGACACAGAGGACACTGAAATGCAGCTGATTGAACTGAAAAGCTCGACTCTGTGGGGGTCAAAGTTTGCAGAACTACGGACGCAGCTGGAATCCACAGCTGTGCGTGTTCACAGAGCTTTCATTCTCACCTGCTGGACGTCACTACCTGACAAGTTTTACTGTCTTAAGAACACTGCAGAGGCCTTATTGCCAGTATTTGGCTCCACACGAGTGTCCTCAGGTAGCCTCTGAATGCTGGACACTCGGAGACCTGTGTCTCTGAGTGGGAGACCAGAGATCACATTAACATGTGTGTCTCTGTATTAACAAACATGCCATATTGGCCCAGTTTATTTTTCTTATCAGTGTTGTGAGGAGACCATAAATAGCATTGCGTTTTCTGTTGTATAGTTCCTTTGCTGTTGGTGTTCTTGTTGATAAAAAGTGTTTGTTTGGGGTTTTTTTCCAAAATAGCTGATTTGCCAACATCTGCGAACAAATATAATTCTATAAAGTTGTTCTGTATAGTGTGTAACTGTTGATATAGAGCGTTATTAAATTTATTGCTAATGCAATGGTTGATATGACACTCATCATCAGACCCCTGCTATAGACATATTTATCTTCAGAATGTGAGTGAGTGGCTAAATCTGTTCATGTTTTTAGCAACAATTTTTATTAATCCACAGTCTTTTTCACTAATGTTGTGTTTTCTGTGTTTTAAATACAACAATGGGCTCAATATTTTATTTTTTAGAGGTTGTCAGTAACGAAGAACCTGTAAAAATGACAGAGTGCTGCACTCTAATTATTCACACAACTAACGTTTGTATAAAAGCATACCAGCATGCTGATGTTATACTGAGCAGACAGTGGGCAACAGTCAGCATCTCAATTTATAATTATATATTGCAATACAATTTACAGGATGCTGAGATTTTCACACATTTCTGTCTAATCCCATAAGTCTTAGTAGCACATGGGTGCTTTCACACAAACCCACCTCCTCCACCACGACTGAGGCTCGATCGCAAACTCCGAACGTCCCAGAGAAGCCGTGAAGGCGAAGGGCCACGCCAGCAGCATGAGGAAAGAGACCAGCAGCAGCCGCACCGGAAAAACTGTAACTGACATGAGTCCTATCTGCAGGGACAAAACACACAGAGACACAAACAGTTACACTTCTGCTGCACTTCAACAACCTGCTGTTTACTGTAACATCCCTGCTGTGTTTTAGCCAACTGTCAAAAAAACAATAATTAGCATAGCATACATTCCTACACAGCTGAGAAACATGCTATTACATTTTACAGTGTCAACACTCCATCTGTGCCTTTAGCAGAACACAAAACCACATAATTAACACTAACTGTGCTCGTCTAATCTCGCTTTAAAGGCCCAACACAAATCAGCAGTTTGCACTATCAATGCCGATTACCTAAAGTAAGAATAAAGGGAGGATATAGGCTTAATTGTGTTTGCATCTAAACAACGTTTATTTCAATATATTAACAGCAAATCATCCTAAAATATACTCTTATTCACACACAGCCCTTTCTACTGCTGGTGTCGTTTGAAACCAGACTCTATGTAAAAGATCCCATTATTTGTGTGTTTTTGGGTGTGGCAAGCCCGTGACTCGCAATTTGCTACTGAATGAGTATACACGGCATCCTCAGGTTCTCAGTCAGATCCAGCGTTTGCTTATTACATCTTTGTTCCTACAAAAAACCTCAACTCCAACATCGCTAATATCAAAGCTTTAAAGAACAGCAGTTCCCAAATCAACCGATTGAACCATGCTGACTAAAGCCATCTTCTACTTGCAGTGAAGACTGAAGAATCATTCGGTATACAGGAGACTTCATGGTCGACTCAATGATGACAATGTGTCTAGATCGTGTGCTTTAAATCACCCCTCTGCCGCTGTGCGTGACAGTTGGTGTGAGGTATTAGGTGTGCCGATATGCTGTGTTTGATCTAAACCAGTTGGTCTCATCTGTACAAGGACAAGGTTCCAGAAGTCTTGTGGTTTGTCCAGTTGCATCTTTACAAACCTGAGATGTGCTGACATGTTTTTTTTTAACATGCTAACTGAGGCCTGTAGCCTGAGCACTCAACAGTCTGGTCTTTGAATGCGGTGGGATGTCCACTCCTGGAAAGGTTGTGCCGCACATCCTTTTTCTGACAAAACCCCTGAAAATTCTGTTTGTTCACCAGAGTTCATGACTACACATCAAATCTCTGGGATTACTCATGAATTACCTTAAATAAGCCTCAGATCTGACAGTTGCTACTTCTATTGCCTAATGTTATGACCATAAAGGATTCTGTTAGTGTTTCTGTTTAGTAAAGGTCACTCGTGGTGACTGGATGACTCTCATTGGGTTTAGCCAACAAAAGTTCACGTGTGTTGGGTTTAGTTCGCAATAATTTTACATAAATACGCAGGTAAAAAGGATAAAACTACAGGATGATAAGGATATAAATTGAGTTGACTGACCTGTCATGACTTCTCTTACTGTGTAATGACAAAGATTTGGCAAATTCAAACTGTGTAACATTTAAAAGCTCCTTCGTTTTGCTCGTATGACCTCTATTTGATCCCTTCATTCTACACATTTATTGCGCTCCCCCTCTCATTGAGCTCCAAGCCTGCCTTACAGTGATCTACAATCATGCTTCTCGCGTATCCATCCATCAGTCTCTCACTCTCTATTCCAAGTCGCTCAGCTGTACCTGCATTTATCTTGCTGTTCTTCCTTTTATAGTTTTCCTCCTACTTTGCACTGGTGTGTTTTTTGTCACCCCTCAAGGGAGTCATATGTAACCTCCCCCCCTCCCCTCCTGCTCCATCTTTCTCTTCTTCCCTGTGTAGTTGTCTATCTGCAGGAACCCAGGTGCACTCTTCAGGGCTGCATTAATAAATAAACAGCAATGGGGGTGATTTATAATGCTCGAACGCCTCTCTCCACCCATCCGAGCTTGTGCGTCACCATCAGAGCTTAACAAGTCCATCTGGGAGGATCTGCTGACATTTTCTCAAGAGGTGGCATAAGAAAACGCAGGGGCGGGGCAGAGGGGTGCAATTTCCAGTGTTTTAGGAGAACGCCGGCTGATCCTTGACTAAAGATTTGAAATTTGCAGTAGAAATGCACTTCAAGAGCACTGAGCTCACTTACAGCACACAGAATAAAAGTGACTACAGATCAACAGATGTAGATTTTTTTTCTTATTGTACATTGACGCACAATTTGTTCAATATTGAACGTTTTAATCCTTCACCCACTAAAAAAATGTATAAACAACTCAGATTAAAGCAGTCACTGAATTTCTTTGTCATGTCATAGTAACTGATGAGGTTGCTCTGTTGTACCTAATGCTAAAGAGATTCTAGGAATCTACAGTCTTGACACGCATACGTGTACATCCCTATGTATAGTTGCGTTAACACTTTCAGGAGACATTTAAGGAATGTAGTGACTCAGTCTATCTTACTTCTCACTACTTTCACTTTCTACACACATAAAGACACAAAGCAAAACATCTGGCATGTGACAAAAAAAAAAAAAAAAAAACACACAGGGGTCTGGCCAGGCAGCAGAAAGTTAGCTAGATGTGATGGAACAGTATTCTCCCATAGGTGTTCACTTAGGTTAAGATCTGGTGAATGTGAAGGCTATAGCATATGATTCATGTCATTTCCATATTCATTAAACCAGTCAGTGACCTCTTATGCCCTATAGATCGGGGAAATGTCATCCCGGTAGAGACCACTGCCATCAAGATTGAACTGTTTTATTATTTCTGACCTAAAGTCCCTCGACCTCTGGCTCTATAGATGCACAGCTACAATATTTATTTCTGCTTGACATGTGGCAAAATGTGTCATTTGTAGGTGAAAACACAGAATTTGTAGTTATTGGCTCCCCTTTGTACAAAGAAATATTAAAAATTATTCTGAGACCATGTTCTACAGGTTGTGCTGCACGAATTGACATGCAGAGCTGCAGATGTGCACATTTTGTCTGCACCTCACAGCGTCACACTTTTAAAAGTTTCACTACTAGTGGTTGTTAGCAAGTATCTGCAGACCGGTCAGTGTCTTCGATGCAGACTAGTGGCATCTGCAGCAATCTGATAGTCCCTAAATCAATCACAAGCAAGTTTTTGGTCTAGCACCCTCTTTGTGACCAACTTCACACAATAACCAGAAACCCCAAGACACCACTTGCGGGGAATATGCAGTCTCAGGGCTCGGCCTCTGGGCCTGTGTGATTGAGGCTATAAGAGTGACTGCTACTGGGATATCATGATGGGTGTTTCAATTTTTAGAGGTTCAACAAACCACATATTTCAGAAAAAATAATCCTCATATAAATGGTAAACTTGATGACGATTACAACGGATCAAAATCCACTAAAATATTTTAACACTTCCGCTGACAAACCATTTTCCCAAGATACATTGCTCCCCTGTGTATTGTGGCTCGCTACAGTTTTAACCCGTTAGGAAGGTAATTGCTCTTGGCTAATTGTTTTCATTGAGGCAGTGAATGCGTACCCAGGAAGCACTTAGCCTGTCCTACCATTTGTCATATTTCGGCTGCCCGTGCAGCAGGAACTGAAGCCAGGCAGTAGCAGATCAAAGCCAAAAGAAACACAACTTTATACACACACGCACTGTTAAAGCCGTGTCTGGTATTAATCCCCATCCATTCGCCGGACATCGCAGCTCTGTTTAATGTCACAGGCATTTTGTTTGTGAGCTTGAGAGCTGGCAGCTGTTGGCCATTCAGTAATGCGTGACTCAGCTGGAATGAGCTTCATTTGCTGACCTGGTTGGTTTACGGTGCTGTGATCATGTTTGCTGGGAAGTTAGAAAAGACATTCCAGGAAGAGCAGCACCAATCTACTGTCTATAGCAAACAGATTCATAAGCATTAAGCAACCATGCAGCCATATCTCTAGAAACAAAAGCACTGAGGAAGTTGCGTTTTGTCGCTTTCCTTGTTTTCCTTCAGGCAAAACGTGTGTTTGTTTACACGAGCGTATAAACCCTTCACAGGTTCTGCAAGTGGAAAAGCGTCCCTCTGGAAGCAGAGCAGCAGGAGGTGTGAACCAGACACAGACACACACATGGTCAAGTTTACCTTCGATGACCCGCTGCGGTCATATGGCACAAACACGCTTCCAACTTAAAGCACACGCCGACTGAAAAACTGACACACTCAGGCACTAATAAGAGGGGACGGTGGAGTTAAAAGCTTTCAGCAAGCCAATGTCAAGTGGTTGATAATAAACACACACAGGCCTTTTTTTTCCAGTCATCTTATCTCGGTGGATTTGTTAATGGTTAGGCAGCAGTGAACCAATTTTCAGACCGTTGTATGTTTCGTTGAGCATGAAAGCAGACACCTCTGGGCCCTGGAGCTATGGGAGAGGTAACCTGAGGGGGTCGATCAGGGCTCTCTTCATGTTTTCACATATACCTTTAACTAGATAACATGATTTTCAGTTGATCAGTAACTTGTGTTTAGGACACTGGCATGCTGTCAGCAGACCCTAAATCACTTAAGTCAGAAAATCTGCTGAACCGCTTGATTAATGAGGAATCATTTCAGCCATACTGCTCTCCTCCAGCAGCGAGCCAACTGATGCAGGAATGAAGACACAGCTGTCCTGTCTTTTCTACATTTCCATGCTTTAGAGCACATGCCTTATTTAAACTGTACTTTTCCCATCTTTGCTTTTCTTACTGCTGTGCAGGCTTTCACCACTCCGGCAGCCTAATGAGGACTATCTGAGTACACATTAAACTTGTTTAGCTGTCAGCTTGTTTAGCCGTCGGCTAAAACTCAAGCGTAAACACAGCCCAACTGTGTGTGCACTCAGTGAAAGGAAGCAGCTGGAAATGCAGAACTGTGGCCTAACAGAAGTGAAGTGTATGTTGGGCTGATTAGCATGTGTCACTGTGCCAGCTAATCAGGTCAATATGATAGTGCACAGGGTTTCGGTCTTGCAAGGTCTTCCCATCCACAATAGGCCTGTCATTAAACAAAACATTAAATAAACAAACAATGCAAATGTCTGATATGCAAAAGACGGTCAATTAAGATTCAAGACTGGCTTTACACACCCATCCAGGAAAATGTGAGGAAAGTGGCTGACTCCACAATGAACCCACAAAGCTTCAGATAACACCAACAATGCAGGAAATGGGTCTGCATGGCAGGTGCTGCTGTGTGGGTAAGACTGAACAGGTGCTGCTGTTTATCTCTGAGAAAATAGAGTTCATTCAAACGTTTTTTAAAAAAGACAAAAAAGGAGCTCTTACTCTTGCATGATTTTCCTCAACACTGAATGAATTCACAGCATGTTTTTAAATCCGCTATGACACAACTTTTGCTTTTTAAAGGGGCACAGAAACTAGATTTGTCACCGCACGGTTTTTGTCCTTTTAACCTGTTTGTCTTTATTTCAGCTGAGTGTCGGACCTGAACCAGGAAACAACTTTTTTCCTAGACAGCCACACAGCATTATCACACTGCTGTCGGTTATTGAAACCCTATCCGTGTTCTGTGTTTTCCTCGTCCGTTTTTATTCCAGTCAACATTAACGAATAAGAGTCATGAAAAAACAGCGTCATTAAAGCGTCGGTAAAGTTTAGGAAAGTAGGAAAGTCACTAAACAAGCAGCACATTGTGGTACGAGGACGGACGAATATGTCTATCTAACATCATCTTAGACAAACACAGTTTATAACTTGTTATTATCTTTACTGCCTTACCTTTATTTTTTCTGTCATGGTCAATTTGAGCTCGTGCACGAAGGGGTTTTTACCCCCTCCTGAAGGGCGACTGTTTGAAGGCTTCATGGTGAACGACCTAACCCGCAAATAATAAAAGAAAAATGGTGCCTCAGTGTGTCCTGTTACTCTTTCGCTGATTTTATTCTGCTGGAGAAGTCTTCCCCCTCAGTCTGTCACTCTGTCACGGACACCGATGATGCTGACTGGGTGGAGAGGTGTGCCGCTCACCTCATGCTTCAGATCAAGCCAGCTAGATGAAACCGGAAGAAGCGACTGTGTTTGTGTTCCCGTTGTAGGTTTCAAAATAAAACGAACGCAATTCCTCCTCATTGTAATGACGCTAAAGTGAACAAAAAAAATTCATAAAACTGAACTGAGGTGAACACCATGCTATTTACCGCACATGAAAAAAATCATTGCTTTTTTTTTTTTAGTCTTTTAAGCTGGAAGCTCACATCGAGCTTGTTATTTAAACCATCGTGTTGAAGCTTTTACTTTGAAAGCAACGACAGTGCAGAGCAATCAAATTTGACACATCTGCCTTCTTATAATCAGTCATCTATAACAGAAGACTCTGAGTTGGGCCAAAAAACGTCCGGTGATTGTAAAAATAATATATAAATATTTAAACTGTTGTAAATAGGCCTATAATCTGCCAAGCATATCTCACATGAATGAAAACAGTATTTTTCTTTAAACCAGTCTCACATTTAAAAAAAACGTGAGATCTCGTTAAGAGGACAGCATAAATTGCAACAAATATGACGAAATAGTTCTATAAAGATATTTAACTTAAAGGACTGAATTGATTATAACGTAGAAAAAACACAAAGAGTCATAAATATACTTGCAAAAACATGTAATTTCGTTATTTCATATATAACACTTTCATAAGGCTCCTTGCCAATATAACGAGAGATATTGCACGTTACCTCTACTAAAACTAATACACCAACATGATTTTGAGTAGAGGAGTATTGAGAATCAAAGCCACTGCTTCTTTGAGGCCCACCAACATGTTCGCCAGATTACAGCAATCGAGCGGCTGTTACTTCAATAAAGAACTAAGAAATGAGTAGTATGATCTAGATGAAGTGATGTGCAAGTGATTGTAGCATATTGATTTATTTGGTCAGTTATCAAAATCAAATTGATAATCATAATACAGTAGCGAAAGAAATCCAAGATCATCCTTTTCTAAGAACCTGAACCTGCTGTGGGGACGTTTGAAACCGTCACTTGCTGATGCTCGCACACCGCACGGTCTCACTAGCTGTGGAAGGCGCCTCTGAGATGCTTCGGGTGATTTGCCTTCAATGAAGTCCAGTAGGCGTTTGAAGTCCTGTTTCCTCTGTCTCTATTTGATCCACCCATCCATTTCTGCTGTCATTTATTTTCTACATGCCAGCAAATGCCCGTGTAAACAGACTCTGTTGATCGTCAAAGCCACAGATGGCTGATTTACATTGTATCCTGTGGCTGACGCTTTGCATTAAGACTCGTTTATTGACCCACAGCAATCACTAGCTGAGTCTGCCAGGTGAACTCAGACTTACCTATTTGACAACCTTCCACAGCTCACACAGAAACAAAGGAAACATTTAATCTGTGTTTCTTTGACCAAATGCTTCAGTGGAAAGCCATTGGATGGTCCCAAACACTGGATCAAATCTTCCTGCCGTGCTTTTGCGAAATTAGAAGTGTTCAAATAATATATGTGCATGTACACACGTTTTCCGAATCCCTGATCCTCCATCAGCAAATATTAACCTTTAGTTTATTCGAGCAAAGCCAGCGTACACTCGGTGTTTGTTGCCAAACATCTTTCAACCAGTTTGGTTTCTTCGGCACTTGGGACTGAGTATTGCAGTCAGTCAGAGCGTTTCATGGCCCTTTTTCTGGCCTTTAGTAAACATACAGTGGCTGAGAATTTGCCCAAAGTTTTGAATGTGACTGGTTTTAAAAGTGACAGGGGGTTTGAAAAGCGACCGTCCATGATGCACACTTTGGCTCCCTCTTGTGGAAGAATGATGGAACTCAGCCTGATGTTGTTAGAAACTTCAGTTCCACCAAAGGTGCTCTGTTGGTTGCGATCTGGTGACTGTGGAAGCTGTTTGAGTACATTGAACTCACTGTTCTAGAAACCAGTTTGACATGATTTGAGCTTTGTAACATGATGTGTTATGCTGCTGGAAGCAACCATAAAGGTCATAAGAGGAGCGACATTGCAATAGATTGGTCATAATCTACCAGGATTGATCAAAATGCAAGAAAAAAAAGGCATGAACATTTGCATAATGACAGATTTTTTTTTTAATACTTTTCCATTTAAAAACAAGACAAACTGTTTTGATTGAAAATCAAAGTCTCGATCTTCTTCCTGTTATTGGCTGCCATAAAAATAAAAAAAAAGTGCCTTAAATATTGCATATTTGTCCAAACAAATACATGAAATATCTACATCTTGCTCACACACAGCGCTCCGACCTCTGGACAGCCCTCGCAGCTGAATAACCAGCATTGTTTGGCAGAGATTTTGAACACTTGCAGTTTGTCGGATGCACTGTTTTATATTTTATGTGTAAAGGCTGGGATGTGTGTAACGGATTTTAGTCCTTTGAAACATTTGTATTTGTCTTTTGGGGGTTGCTAAATGTCAGTATGTGTAACCATAAATGGGTTTTCAATGCCCCTGTAGGTGTTAACTGGTTAATTCTATTGCATTTAAAAAATAAATGATGATTTTAAATTGTATTCATAAAAATAAACCATGTTATCAGTAAGTGTATGCGGTGCAGTGTTCATTTTGTGTTTTTGTTTTAGATATTTTTTAAAAGAAGACGGTGGTGGAAGTTTTGGTCAGTTCATTTGGGTCCTGATTTTAAAGAGCATAGAAAAAACTAGTGCACAGATCTTCCCGTTTTTTTTTCTTTTTGTTTGTATTTTTAATGATTTTTACATAATGCACTGCACTAGGTGGGTTGTGGTATTTATACTTAAGAGTCCAAGAAAACATCTCTTTACACCGTCACTGCCAGCCAGAACCAGGGTGGAGCTATAGTTTTATTTTGTTTATGTTGAATTCTGACCCCACTATCCAAATGTTGCAGGAGAAATGGAGACTAACCAGACTTGGCAACATTTCAACACAATCTTCTGTTGTCTCATTTTCATGATTCTATGTGAACTGTAGTCTCAGTTTTCTGTTCTTAGATGAGGAACAGCACTTGATGTGGGCTTCTGCTGCTGTAGCTCATCTAGCTCAAGGTCAGACTTTACTGTGTATTTAAAAATGCTCTCCTGTACAGGTGTTTTATCCTACTATTAGAGGTCTGACCCTCTCTGTTGACCTCTGGCATCAGCAAAGCATTTTCACCCTGCTGCTCACTGGATATTTTGTCTTTTTTCATTCTCTGTGAACCCTAGTAAGGGAAATTGCTAGTGGACCGCAGTTTCTGAAATACCCGCCTGGGACCAACAACCAGGTCAGCTTGACAATCTCTACATCACTACTTGCCGCTATCTGATTTTCTGACCATCTACAGCTGAATCACTCTACCTAATAAAGTGGCCATTGAGTATGTATGTATCTATCTATAGTACTGCGCAAATGTCTTGAGCAAACCCTCATTGATTTATATTTTCTTTGGAAAAAAATGGGAAATAGGTTCAAAAATAAATGTAAATACAGTATATAAGGCAATATCACTGTTCAATTCTCACAAGCTTTAAAATCAATACTTGGCATGACCACGTTTATTATTCAACACAGCCTGAACTCTTTTAGGTCAGCTTTCTTGTCATGCCTTTATTTAGTCATTAGGAATATTTCTCCAGGGTTCTTGAAGGACATTTAAAGCTCTGGATGTTGGCTACGTTTCGTTCTGTTCATCCATCAGGATGATCCCACGCTGCTTCAGACCTTGTTGATGCAAAAATACTTTTCTGCTCCTGTAAAACTTTGTTATCGTTGGCATTTTTTAATAGACTCAAGATGAGTTGAGTCAAGTTGAGACATAATTACTTCTCATTTCTTTAGTTGAGTCACTTACCCTAAAGAAGTGAGAAGTAATTATGTCTTTTGAGACAGGCTGCTAGTAACAAAGTGCCTAAAGACACAGGTTACAGTTTCTTTGCTAAGTTATCTGCTATAGAAGCAACACTTGTGCATTTTTAATGGTTGAATGATTGATAGGTCGGTGTTAAGTGTTTAAACAAATAAAATAATAATTCACCTGAAAATGGTCAGGTACAAGAACTGGACTGAAAAAAAGTGAAAAACAAGGCCACTGTCTAAAGAAAAACTTTTGAAAGACCTTCAGAAAGTCTGATAACTATCGCTCAAGATCACATTTTCTTTTTAAATGACAAAAAAAACAAACAAAACAAGCAACCCCCCCAAAAAACCCACCTGGCTTCAGAATCAAAACATGCAGAAACACAGGGCGGCTCACGAGTTTTGCTCAGTATGCGTAAAAAATTTGTCTTTTTTGTTGTTAAAAGAGGAACTGTAGAGAGGTGAGAAGACTTCAAAGTATTTTTCAGCCAAACAATTTATTACTTCAGCACAGTTTTCGTAAATATCCACGCCTTGGGTGCAGTCACCCCCACGCTCGTACAACACTTCAGCCCTGCCTCTGCTTGTGTCTTGGATTTGTCTTGCAGAACACAAACAAACGTCCCCTCCTTATAACAAAGAAGCAGTCCTTGCAGCGCCTCTTCAGGGCAGTTTTGGTTTTCATTCCTGCAGAGGGCTGAACGCAGGGAACATGCCGACACTGTCCCAACAGAGAGGTTTCACGCCGAGCCGAGAAGCCAGAAGAAGGGAGCTGGATGGAGCTGATGCTGGCCGATGATGGGAGAAATGCACGAGAACCGCCGGTGAGCATAAAGAGAGATCTGTGAACAAAGGCTGCCGGTGAGGACAAGGTCAGACGCCAGTGGCTCATCTGGGCCACTTGCCTAGCTAAGGAGGTAGCCAGATGCTTTAGCAGAAGGGGGGCCATGGCGGAAAAGCTGCAAAGAGAATTCCAAAAAAGGATATTTTTTAGTTCCTCATGTTGTGATGCAGAGCTGAAAAGATTACTTAATTTTTTCACTAGGCAAGTATTAGCCATTCATCAAGCAAAAACTATTGAAAATGTGACAGTTACTGAAACTCCACGTTCTTAATTGGGTGGATTCACCATCTGTTTAAAATAAGTGCATCAAAATCTTTTGGTCAGGTGAAACAGGGCATCCAGAGAGGTCATCTTAGTCTGGGAAGGTGACATTTCATTGGGAATCAAACTGTCACACAAAATCACAAAACATTCATTCATATGGACCTATCCTGGGGTCCTTAGTTTCTCATCTGTCTAAAACATCCTGTTTTGGCTCCCTCGCCCCTCCCTTTGAGCCCGCACTCTTCTAATTGGCTGCCCCTCACAAACCTAAAGTTTTAACATGAGGCGGAGCTGCGTGCCTGACATGACCACATTTGGAATACCTGTGATAACTGACATCATACAATGTTTAGAGTAGAAAAAAAAAGTATCAAATTTGAGTTTTTTGGTCAGAGTAAATTCTTGCACATATGCCGACTTCTTTACTTGAAACCTCGGCCTTTATAACACAAGCATCACCCATTGCAACACAACATAAATGAGAGGAAATAACAAAAAGCACAATACACCGCCTTAAATAACGTTCTAATACTATTTGAGATGAACAAACTAGCCTGGGCTAACAAAGGTAATCATATTAACATGTTTTTTAAAATACAGTCAGCAACATATTGCAGAATAAGCACTACTCATGAGGCCTAGTACGTAACACATTAACCAGCTACACACCAATTTAATAAAATCTTCCATGGGCCTTTAAAAATGATATATTTATAGGCTACTACCTTCCTTGTACAAAAAAACTCTGTACATGTAAAAATTACCACCCGGTGTCCACACAGCAGAACTATGTAACGGCCAAGGAGACGAGCATGTCAGAGCTGACCTGCTAGCACTAGACCGAATAAGCATTCACACAGTCTTGCGCAGAAAACATTACAAAGTCAAACAACACAAACAAACCTTTCAGAAATCACTAGAAAGTTGAATTCATGAATTCATTTATGCCCCTGTAAGTACGTGTTAATCGCCACAACAAGAACCACACTGCTTTCTTGCTTCAAGTACATACAACAGCTTCCGGTGTGTAATAGGATAGTGAAGCCCTTATTTTTGCCTTTCAGGCAGTTTCCTCTCGCTAGTTTTGTGGGAGAACACATCCCTTTCTCCATACTAACAGTCTCGGATTCCGTCTTTTTAAATTTGAACTATTTTACATTTTATAATATATGTCAAAATAAATAAAGGCACCTTGCTGAGGCTTGCCGCCGGTAAAGTTTCTTTGAGCCTGAAAAGCCAGACTCGGGGCGAAATTAACCTCGGTATTAGCGTCCTTTGCGAGGCAGTCTGGGAAAGCAGGTTGTTGTAAACATGGCGGCCACAGTGGGCAGAGTTCTGTCCTTCAGTAAAAATGTTAAGCTGCTTGTTTCGCCTTTGAAGCTTTCTGCAGTACCTACTCACCGTTATAGTGTAGATGTTTCCACTACCGGCGAGCCCATCACTCACACCGGACAGGTGAGCTGAAAACTACCTCTCTGTTACTGTTATTTTACCCGATGGAGCAACGTTAGCTAACCTTAGCATAGTGTTACTGACGCCTGCAGCTCCAAATTACTCTGCTTATAAGATGTTTGATATTTGAATGCTGGTCACTGATTATATTGCATACACAATATGCAATATAATGCAATAAATCTAAATGTTTCATTTAGTTCCGCTCTTAAAACAGTTCTCATATTAGGACCACAATGTTAAATCACAGATAAACAAAATAACAGGATGCCTGTAAACTGCTGCGTGTAACTTGTGTTTTTCTCCTAGGTGTATGATGAGCATGATTACAGGAAAGCCAGATTTGTTGGCAAACAGAAAGAGGTAAGAAATAAGCACTTAACAATTTATTCATTTGGCTAAGCTTAGTGTAACCCCTGCTAACTGGGTTTAGGGCCTAGGTCTTTCAGATCCAAGGCCAAAACTGTGTGAATAACTTAACCAAATCAAGAACTGAGAATTGTAGTCTCAAAGAAGACAAGCACTGGAATCCTGAATAGACTGTGAGGTTGCAGACCAAGAAAAACTTCAGTTTTTCAGAAGATACAACTTTAAACCAGACTGAAGTATGCTAAAGACAACCTGGAGAAAGATTAATGCTTACTGGAAGCACGTCCTTAGGTCAGATGTGGGTCATCGCTTTGTCTTCAAACATGACAACGAGTCAGAACATATGTTGCTCCTGGTGAAGAACTGCCCCCAAAATACCAAAGTGAACGTTATTGACTGGCCTGCACAAAGCCCTGATTTGAATCCCACTGAAGACAGCGGTCAATGCCAGTTTTTGTTTTTTGCGAAATAATTGTTTCTGTGTGCAAAGTAAATTAATGTAAGCATCCAAACTAAAACTACGATGTTTGGAAAAGCTGTTTTAAGTAGCACTTGGAAAATACTTTAAAAAAAACAACGAAAACATGCACATCAGTGCAGAGTCCCCATACCACACCTAGCGACTTCCTCGCCGAGTTTTGGAAAGTACTTACACAATTGCTTTGTATTGTTGTTTAAAGGTGAATAAGAACTTTGCCATCAACCTGGTGGCAGAGGAGCCAGTGTCTGACATCGAAGCCAGAGTGGTATCTTGCGATGGGGGCGGAGGAGCGCTGGGACACCCCAAAGTCTACATCAACTTGGTAAGACCCTGCAGACACCATTAAGATAAAACTATTTCAAGTGCTTGGTATTCATATTGCTGGGATAGGCATCAGATGGCATGAATCTCCTAAACCTAGCAGCTTTGTGCAGTGAGGGATCTCAGAAAACACAAAGGTGCTGTTGCACTGATGAAGCTGGCAGCATGATGGTTAGCACCATCGCCTCACAGCAAGAAGCTCCTAGCTCTGAATCCTCCTTTCTGTGTAGAGTTTGCCTGATGTCTCTGTGCCGCCTCTCACCCTCAGACAGCTAAGACAGCCTCCAGGCCAACCAAAACCATGAACTAGATAAGAAAAAGAAAATAGACAGATGGAACGATGAAGTTTATTTAGCACTGAGGTTGAGTGATGACTCCAAAAGACTGTCAAACCCCAAAATGTTGGGACGCTGTATAAAATGTAAATGAAATTCAGTTTAATATTTGGTTTAATATTTGATTCATGATGGTATACAAACCTGGGAAAAATATGATTTTATCTGAAAATAAAATTGATCAATTTCTTTTTTCATGTTTTTTCTTTCTTTCTTTCTTTCTTTTTTTTTCTTCTTTTTTTGGAACAAAGTTGAAACAGGCCAAACAAAAGACTTTGAAAGTTGCGTAAGAACCAGAAACCATTATCTCACAATGGCTTTTACCTGATTGGCCATTTCTGTAGGCACAGGACGAGGCCATAAACTAATAGTGAAGATGGCTCCGTCTCTGGAAACAAAAATAAGCTACCGATGCTATCCAGACTTGTAAGCAGGACAAAGTGTACATGTATTCTAGCAGCATGGCTTTCTGAGTCTTTCTTCCACTTACCCATTTCCTGGTTGGGGGGGCTGAATCCTATCCCAGCTGCTACAAGTAGAGCGGCGGGTACGCCCTGAACAGGTTACCAGTCTGTTGCAGGGGTCACACAAAGAGGCTGACAACCATTAGTGCTCACACACACACACCTATGGCCAATTTAAAATCACCAGTTAACCTCACCCCACTAACATGCCGCATGGATTGAACGAAAAAAAACAGTAGGGCTCTTGAGCTGAAATCTTGTTTCAAGCAAGGATTTCAAAACTAGAACAGCTGCTCTCTTCACTTCCCGAATGTGTACAGTAGTGTGTTAAATATTAAATAGGGTTTGAAAAATATGAAGATCCTTTTTTTTTGCTTTGCAGAACATACAAATGATTTATAATGTCCCCACCTTTTACCAACAGTGTGGCATCATTGTTAAAATGGATAAACTCAGCGAATTCTATGATTTCATTAGGCAAACAGTAGGTTGGAGTAGAACAGTAGGAGAGATTATAGCCTGACTCTGCACATATAATCTGTAAAATTTTATTTAGTGTTGTTTTAATCTAAGATTATTTGATGTAATGTTCCCAAACTGTAAACGCTCTTGTTTTTTGTCTTCAGGATAAAGACACAAAAGTGGGAACGTGCGGCTACTGTGGACTGCAGTTCAAGCAGAAGCATCATCACTGAAACATTTCCTCTTTGCTTCTCTGTGTAAATCTCCATATTGCTCAATAAATTATATCTTGTCTGAGAGTTCATTCTTTGTAATTAAGCATCCTGGAATAAAGACAAAGACTGCACTACACAAAGTTTTGTAGACAGTCAAATGTGTACAGGCAGTTTCTAATTATTGCTCTTGTAGATTTGAAGGCAAAGCTCTGAATAAGTTGCTGCTCTTACTGTAGATTCCCCGATGCTGCTGTACGTTTGGTTAATACGATGCAGTTCCACCCTGTGACAGCCAGAGGTCAGCAGAGTCCTGCATATGTGTTTATTCTGAGGCTGGAAACAGACTGAAGGGCTTTCTTTCAGGAAATAAGACAAGTTTTACATTTTCTTCTTTGGACACAGCAAAGTTAATTTTTTTCTAATATAATGCATTGAAAGGTGATGCAAACTTGTAATTAAAATCAATGAAAATACAAGTAGTGCACCAAAGTGTTATCTGCTTTAAAGTTATGATTATTTCTTTAGTACATGAAAGAGATGATAGATAGAGGACTTTTGTCAGTTGTTTACAATGAAGAGCGCTGAAAGGACCTTAACATTCCTCCGTCGGCTCCCGACGATCCGCACTGGAAGGTCTTGCTCTGCCAGGATACTGTTGGGTGGGGGTGGAGGGGCAGTCTGATAGGACACAGCAGCGTGGAACAATACATGTTTGAAGAAGATCATATATATATTTCATCAGGCTTATTCTCCATAGACCTCTGCATGCCAAATTGGCCTGCGCTTGGCTCGGGCTCCAGACAGCACTACCCTGTTCTGTCCCCAGTGATGCAGGCAGTGGAACTGCATTTTCCACACCACGGAGCTCAGGTTGGGAAGAGTTGTCAGGCTGATATAATTGGCCCTGGTGACTCCTGGAAGTGAGGCTTACGCTGTAGTTAACCTCATCTATAGTCAAGACCACAGTGGATGATTGAAGGGGAGAGAGGTGCACTGTTAAAATGAGGCAGGCGAGCCGGGTCAGTGTCAGAGAGCTGACTGGTTGGTCTTGCGGTTGGTAAGTCTGAGTGGTTCAGAGGCGGTGCTTGGATGGGTTGGAGGCATTGCCGGGGGCAAAATCTTCAGATGAAACTGAGCGTGTGAATCGCACAGTGTTTTAGTCCTGGGTTTGACTGCACTGCTTCATTATTCAGCGCCTTTAAATGCGCTGCTCCAGCATAATGTAATATTCTTCAGCATCATACATGTATATATAT